TTTCAACTGGTGATGTTTTTTTTTGTTTTTTTGTTTTTTTTTTGTTTTTTGTTTTTGTTTTTTTGAAAAACTGCATTGGCTCTGCAGATTTAATAATTATGTAACATTATAGTTCTTCAGTCAAAGATGAGAGAAGCTATGCTGGTGAGGACATCGATACAGCACAAAGTAGGCAACGTATAATTATTTAATTTTAAATAGTAGTAAATATAGATATGTTGTACAAAACTTTGATTTATTTTTAATTTTCAATTTCTTTTTTTCATTAAACTTATTGAAAATTATCCCTAAACACTAACGAAACTTTACCCTCCTATATAAAAAAAATGTACACCTTTGCAAATAACACGATTTAAACGTATCTTTTATTTCAGTTCTTTCATCGAGACATTTAAACAGAACCGGATCACATTCTTCTGTCTCCGGGAGCACAGAAGTTGAAAGAGACAGTCACCCCTACAACACCATTGATCCAACATTATCTCCTGTCGGTGCGCATGCCAACAAAATGACCCAACCTTTCGCGAGCCTCGCCCCACCAAATGAAGACAGCGAGCCCTCACAGGAAGAACATGTCTACAACAACTCCCTAAGTGCTGAACCAAATGTGAATCAAGAAACACCTATACACATCACTGGCAGTTTAAAATCGCTGATACCGAAATTCGATCGAGAAAATGAAATGCCACGAACCGCATTTTCAAAGCCAAAGCCACTATTGCCAAAATTTAAAACATTTAACTCCTCAGATAAAAAACTGAATTATTTTCACTCCTTCAACTTACAACACATAAAAAATGCAAAAACTTCCCTTCAATCGATCGAAAAGTCTAACAATTTCCTTGGAGTTAAAAAGATAAATCTAAAACCAAAAACTGCAGCAAGCAGCGATTGTCAAACACTCCGCGTTGAACCTGAATCAGAAATTGCAACTGATCAACAAAACGACACCGTACGTTACAATTGTTCTAATATCAATACAAAACCAAGCGATGATCTTAAAAAAGAAAAAGATGAAACAGACAACAATCCTTATGACAAGCTTGATCATTGTTCCGATGATTACGAATACTCTTTTACATCAAGTATTCCAAGCAGCACTGGTTTCACCATACACGACACCGAATCCCCAACCTACGCTGTACCCAGCGACGTAGGTATAACCGGTTCAAATAACTGTATGAGCTACGTGAACTCGGACAAAATGGCACCAGAGGAACCAATGACAGCTAGTGGTGGCGATAAACCGGATTACTCGGTCCCAAGAAATGTTATTGATCCAGTGTTGAATGAAAGCAAAGGCTTGACATCAGAGAAGAAATGCAAGGACACGAGCAGTTATATTTCTTTTGATTGAGCCACGACGTAGACATTTTTATATGTAAAAAAACAAAGAAAGAAAAAAGAAAGAAAAAACTATTTCAGTGCTCATCGTTTGTAAAATATGTATCCAGCCTTGTATCAAACATTAATATTGTACATTATTTGAAATTATTCAAAATGAAATAAAACAAGAAATACATTTCTTTTTTTTAAAATATTTATTGTAAAAAAACAACGTGTAAGTTTTATTTTTGAAACTTTCAATATTGCATTTTATTTTCTGGTACTATTTTTAGTTTTAAGAAAAGCATGCACAAATAAATAGTTTGTTATCGTTTAAGCTACATTGTTCTAAATACATGTTTCTTATATTGATAACTTATGATTTAACAACACTTGAAATAAAATAACACAGACCTATAGTTTTGTTTCTGGTGTGTAAAGTGATAGTGGCTGGGCACATCTTGGGTCTTACCTTGCCAGCACCGAACTGACGTAAAGTATTGAAAACTACTTTGCTTTTCCATCAACTATTATATAAATTGTATTGCAATGTTTATATGATACAGCATGTACAGGCAACAAACACAACTTATAGTTGTAAAAGAATGTTGGGATGAAAGGGCTCCAAAGTCTTATAGAATATTTTACAATTGTTACTGGGAACTAAATTAAGAATTAAGAGCTCATGTGTCTGACACCCCCCCCCCCCCCCACTCCTCCGCTCCTCTGTCAAATACAACTGTTGGGTAGGGACAATTTGAATAACTCAACAAAAAACAATAGTTGATTTAAAATATATTTTTTTAATATAAAAAAAAAATTGTATCTCAAACAATTTTTATACCAACAAATGTATTTTATGGTGTAAACACAACAGCTTTTTTGCATTTCTCTTAAGTGTTTGAAAATTGAAATTTAAACAAGGTAGTAATTATCAATTTTAAAAGCAACTTATCAATAAATTTAAAAAAAGAAATATATTTTATAATTTCAAACTTTATGTCGCTCTATTGCAAACATGTTGATTCAAATAAACATTTTTAATCGACTTAATTACTTATTTTATTATATTTATATTTATTATACATTTATTATATTTATATAATACAGCATACACCTTGACAAAGAAAGTAATTTTTTTAAGAATAACACGTTGTTTATGTTGCTATTCTACAGAACAATTTTCTGCATACAAATTATTCATGGCATTATCTTATCTACTTAACATTCTTGAAGGTATTTACATGTATTATTTTAATTTTATTAGACAGCTGACAGTATGCATGTGTTGTTTGTTCAGTAACATCAACTCTAGTGGTATAGTTTGGATGCTTATCCTGCTAAAATATATCTGCCTCCTTACAGCTACTTAAGATCTGTCTAAAAAATGTGTATTCAAGTGTCTATCCTTGAGATGTTTCTATCTGAGAGCTCTATCTTGCAATCTTATCCAATCCAAATTAAGCATCTCGTTTTAGACGAGTTTTTGTTTATAGTGAATGTTTGTTAACCTTGTCCACTTTTGTGTGCTAGTGTTGCTAGAAAAATGTATTACTAATGCTATTAAACAAGATTACTGTCTTTGTGTTCGTCTGATCCAGAGGCGTAGCTAGGGGGAGGGCGGATGGGGCGGGCGCTGACCTTAAGGTGGCGCCAAATTGGGATGGAAAATAAAATAGCAAGCTTATTCGGAGCTACAGTACAACCGAATTTAAGAAAATAGAAAGCTGCTTGGTTCTACTTGTGGCTTTCTAATTTGCTGGTGTAATACAGGAAAAAACTATCAACTGGGACTGATGTGTGATTTTGGGGGTCCTTTTTCACTAACATGAATAAATATATACATATTGGGGGAAGCAAAATCAATATTTTGCCCCGGGCGGCGAAATGGGTTGCTACGCTTGTGGTCTGATTAACCCTATCGGATGTAGTCGGAGGAATGTGAAAACAAGGCGCTTTTAACACCAATTGTCATGTCTGTTGTGGATTCGGACCCGTCCCTTTGAAATGGTCAGAAGAAGGTGACGACGTGTTGAGCTTTCCAACAATGGGCGTCTCTTTTGTGGAGTCGGACCCGTCCCATTGGAAATATCCAGAAGAAGGTGACGACGTGGTGACCTTGTCACCAATGAGCATGTTTTTTGTGGAGTCGGATCCGTCCCATTGGAAATATCCAGAAGAAGGTGACGACTTGGTGACCTTGTCACCCATGAGCGTGTCTTTAGGGTCATCTGATCCGTCCCATTTGAAATATCCAGAAGAAGGTAATAATGTGGTGACCTTGTCACCAATGAATGTGTCTTTAGGGGCATCTGATCCGTCCCATTGGAAATAGTCGGTGGCTGGTGTAGGTAGGCGGCACACTTCACCAATCGATGTGTCTTTTAAACCGTTTGATCCATTGAACTGGTAATGTTCAGGAGCATTGGAACTCAAGACACCCTCTACTTCAGTACGCATATATTTTTGGCGGATCTCTTTATCAAACTGACCAGAGGAGAGAGAAATCACGATGTTGTCTTCTTGAGCGCCCGCTTTACCCAATCGTACCTTGCTGGTACAAATAGCCCTCAGGAAATCCTCATTTTCCAAAGGCATGTCTTTAGTATTTTCTGTTCCATCGATTTGGAAATAATCAGCATCATGTTAAATAGTTATTATGTTGTAAAGGTATCAAGTAGTCTTCGTGCTCAGTTTGAACGTTGATATCATGGTCACCTTTATTTTTCTGATTAAAATGATCAGTAATGGGCTGGTAATGGTGGTCGTCTTTTAGTACTTCGCAGACTGTCGTGTCGTAAATGCTAAAGTCTGTATCGTTTTCTTCACTTTTTACAACCAGTTGAAAAGTTTTTGTTTTCTTACAACTGTTCGAGTTTGTTTGTGACAGATCCAACTCGTTTGTGTTGTTAAGGTTATCTGTGTGAAGGAGCGAATCTGAACAACGATCAAATTTCCTCTTTTGCAATTGCGGTATGCGATATTCAGATTCCGCATTCTCTGAAGCTTTGTCTTCATTGTTTATTTCTTCAGTTAAATTTTTCCTAAGTGGGGAAAATTCCGGACTGGTGTATAGCTGATCTTGTGGCCGCGGGGGTAAAGGAGGGGAGGACACCTTATAATCCTCCTTGTCTTGCCGTCCCAGGAAATCTTCATCAACCATCTTGGGATTATCTTGGTTACTTTCTGATCGAGTATTTATATCATCTAGTGTGTCCTCTATTGTGTGGTACTTTTCTTCATCTGTTCGGTGGGATTTTTTTTTAAAAAGAGAAATATATGAATTGTAAAACAACACTGCATGAAATTCTCTATACAATTGTATGCATCTATGTACATGTAATAATATAGTTGTATTTATTGCATATATTAGTCGACATTTTTTATTGTTATTAAAGTTTCGTTTTTAATAAAAAGTTTCAAAAATATATTTGTCTCCTGTCTGAAATTTTAAATTTAAGAGACATTTTAGTTAAAGATTGAAATTTTACAGTTGTTACTAGCTATAATAAATCTTTTAGTTGAATTTTTTACATTTTTTAACATGACTGATGACTATCAATTCTTATGAGGAGTCTTTTGAAAATCAAATATATTTTCGTTTTCAAACACTTAACTAAGTTTTAACATACGAAGTGATACCTACATTATTCTTCGAGATTTTTAGGATTAGG